AAAATGAATTAATAAATATAAAAAATTTAAAAGTTTATAAAAAAAGAAATACAAATTAAATATTTTTAAACATTTTAAAAAGTTAGAAAAAAACATTTTCAGTTTCGGCCCAACATTTTTTTCCTTTTGGTTTCATTTTTAAAACGTTCATTTTGGTGCACCTCTAATAATAATAATAATAATAATGATAATAATTAGGGATGCACAGATACTTTTCGAGTACCAGTGCAGATACTTGCCATTTTCATGAGAACTACCAGGGTTGCAGAGGTTGCAGCTGGGACCTGGCTCTGGTGCTCTACCACTGTCCTGAAATCATTAGTCTGTATTGTTTTAGAAAAACTGTCACATGACAATAAACAAAAATGTATCAGTACCCATACTTGTAAGTACTCGGCAAGTACCAGTACTCATACTCGCAAAACTGGTATCTGTGCATCCCTTTATTTATATTTATAAAAACAAAATCGTACATTAAAACAGAGATGTACAAATCCCAGGAGCTCCGTGTGCTCCATACACATGGCAGCTGCCTCCTAATTTTTGAATTTTTCTCTAGTGTAGTCTTGGAGCTCAAAAGTATCAGTACATGTACTTGTACTTGTACCGAGTACTGTACTTGGTATCTGCAACCCTAATAATAATAATAACAGTCTTTAAAAATGGGGTTAAGAATGACACAAGGCAAAGAAAAATCCATGACAGTATAAATGTGATGCTGACTGCTATCTTCTGGCTGGTATTATATTCAAAAGGAACCTTTCCAGATGGTCATAAAATATTGATTCATGTCGTGATAAAATATACAGATACATGAGACTAAAGACTTTCATTGGTTAAGTAACTATTTTGTGCAATAAAAAAAATCCACAACTGTGAAATATTTTTGCATGTGAATTGAATGTTTTAATGAAAACAAAATCATCATGTGATAAAATAGACTGCACTTACAATAAATCATGCAGCTTAGAGAACTGACCCTACAGTCTGTTGTTTTAAGAAACTGACTTTAAAACATAATTCTCCCATTACAGTTTGTTGTGGCCTTTGCCCTGCTCCAAATAAACTTCACCTACATGGTACCAAGACAGCAAAACTATCACCTTAAAATGAATATGGTGAGTTATTCAAGCTGATAGCTGAAGACGATTCAGAAGACTCAGCCTTTAAAAAGGCTATATTTGCTATTTCTATAATTGAATAAGTGTTCTGATTAATTGAATCAGCAATACATTACAAAACAGACTGAGCTCTTTGACCTGGGAATTAATATACATAATTTGAATAGATCAATACACTTTTAAACAATAAGAAACTTCAGTGCATTGGGGAGGTAAGGTAGCTTCACTATAACATTTGCAGGATTTTCAACTTGCTGCAATATGTTAGTTTTGTTTAACACTTGTATATGTGTATATTGTACTATGTATACAAAAGCATTAAAGTGACCTGACATTAGAAGATTCATAATTTACTTGCTGTGCCTGGTTTTAATAATGTTATTCCTTCTCCAATGTATTTCAGCCATTATCTTTCTACATATACTAGCCTCAGCATCAGCTGCACATCATTGTTCTAGATTAATCTCCCGATAGTGACAATAGTGGACCTTGCTTGCACAATGTGTGTCAGCATGGCTGTGTGTAGTTTCCACCAGGGGTGCATGTGACAGGGTGACAACACAGCAAAACAAGTATGAAGCATTTTTTACCCCGTAACAAGACATGCCTGAAGTATGACTTTCATTGCAAAATAAGCAGATTTTCTTGAATGGAAAACAACTTTTGAATTTACATTAGCATGCTAAAGCTATACGAGATTTTAGTGAGTAAGATTACATAGTTTGCTCAATTGACTTTAGGGCAGCTGCCTTTCTACTCTACAGGCCCATTGTTTAAGTGGCGATGTATTCTTCCCTCTCATGATGGGAAGTTTAATGGGCACTCAATTGATAGCTCTTACAGTTCAGCTGCAGAGTTGAAGCTGAGCTATCACTTGTAGTTCTACAAGTATGTGCAGACCTCTTACCCCTGGTTCTGCAGGCATGCAGGGATGTGCTGTTGCTTATAGCTCTCCAGGCCTGTGCTCTGTTGCTAACTTGCTCTTCCACTAGTCTGGAAGCTTTGGGCATCGGCTGACCTCTCCTGCTGATTCTTATGCAGCTTCTCAGCCATTCAGTGTGGTTGGCTTGTGGCAAATCCTGTGTTTACTACCTCTTGCTTTCTGTATTTAAACCCAGTGCAGGTCACGGCTGGAGCAAATGCTTTCCTAAGCTAGATACAGAGCCCCCTGTGTGCTGTTAAAGCTGATTTCCTTGAAGTTTACTCGAGTGTAAAAAAATAAATAAAATAAAATTACTTAAATCAAATGGAGATAAAATCTTCTTAGATAAAAAAATAATAATACAGAAAGAAGTAATAGGGGAATAGATAGTGGGCTCACTCCAGTCAACACAGCTAAAGTAATCACCGAGGTTAAAATAGCAGAAACAGTGAATGTAGCAAATAAGTTGTCAGAAGTGAATAAAATAAGAAACGAACAACCAACATCAGGTCCAAACAATAAAACTAGTGGGGAACAAGTAGGATATAAACTTTTGTCCCATAACAAGACAGGAATTAAATGCATGTACATTAACGCTAGAAGTCTAGTAAATAAATTAGAAGAGCTTGAAATTATGATACTCGAAGAGGACTTCGATATAGTGGGTATATCGGAGACCTGGCTAGACGGCACACATGATTGGGCTACTAATATAGAGGGGTATTGTGGCAGCAGATAAGATTGCTAAATATATTTAAATAATTCATGTTTTATTATGAGGCCTCTGACCCCCCTCGCTCCTTCTTGCATTTTAACCACACATGCAAAAGAGAGCATCACTGTGTAAAAGGCCATCTGACTTTTGTCCTAGAATGTAATTTTGCAACTAAAAATGCTGATGACAGTATTTTGTGACTGACCCCCTCCTTCTTGTCAGAAGACTGTGACAATAGTAGTCAGAAGCGGTGACCACAGTTGATAACGGATATGAACCATATTTAGTAGAATTGCAAATGCTGCTTGCTGATTGGCTTAGAGGGGTAAAGGAAATATGTGTATTAGAAATATGTAATGTGACATCATTGTTGTTATACATATGTAGTGACCGCCCTTAAAGGGCCACTCAGGAATTGGAGACGGTAGTCACCTGAGTCCGCTGCAGAGAATAAAGAAGATTTGTATTCCTGAAGTCTGTGTCCGGAGTCCATTGCTGGTTTCCCAAAAGCTGTTTCCCGCTACATTTCTTGGTGCATTGGCCGGGAAACCAGGTGTGACTACTGAGACAGGTGTTTTCCACCACAGCCCGCTGGGATCGTTGCAGAGCTGGCCCCTCGGATCCCTGCTGTGTCTCAGGTGCCACTGGACATTTGTCTGGGAGACTACGCTACATCTTCGTCGCCAGCTCTGAGGCGACCCTGACGGCGCCTTGAACCCGGACTTAGGAACCAAACCTTGGGGGCCCCACTTCAGGACCAGGTGAGAGATCTTGGCCTTATGGTTTATGTGATAACAGTCTGTTAGCCAGAAAGGACCTCTCGACTGTCCGAGAGAAGGGGAGCTTGATCACCTCCCGAGGGGAACCCCGATTGGATGATAGCGCATCCAAGACCGGTATGCCTCAGGTAGTTAGTAATTTCTGGTGGTAGAGTCAGTGTGTTTGTGGTTGAATGAGACATTGCCCGGCAACGAAGCATGAGTGGACCCTGTGTAGGTGCAGTTCTCAGCCAGGTGTCGAGTCACCGATAAGTAAAATTGTTGTTTTATAATCTCTTTGTGTTGAGAGTCTCGGACCCCTAATAAGACTCTCAATCCTCACCCTACCCTCTGTGTCTGTCTTGGTGTCTGTAGAGTTCAAATATGGGTAGGAACCAGTCAGTCCCGACTCCCTTAGAATGTTTGATAAATAAAGGAAGGGATTTTTGTAAGGGCTGTGATCTGAAACAGCCCTAGGAGACTGGAAAGTCTATGTGTGAAAGACTGGCCGCGCTATGGGACGCGGTGGCCCCCACAGGGATCATTTGCCTTAGAGATGATTGACAAACTTCAAGAACATGTTATGACAGACTCTGGGGCTACAAGGTATCCAGGAAAAGGCTCAAACATGCCAAGAGACTGTAAAATACCTGGGGTTCAGAGTATCACAAGGCCAGAGACAGTTGAAAGAGGGCAGGAAAGAAGCCGTTTGCCAGATCCCCATCCCAACCACCAGACGCAAAGTGCTTGGGAGCAGCAGGATTCTGCTGGATTTGGATACCAGACTTTGCCACCAAAGCCAGGCCCCTCTATGAATCCACTAAGGGGGGTGAGAAAGAACCATTTCTATGGGAGGAACAACAAGACACCAGCCTTCCGAGACACTAAGACTGCCTTGATGCAGGCCCCTGTTCTGGACTTACCAGACAATCAGAAGTCCTTTTTACCTGTTGCCAGTGAAAAGCAGGGAATAGCAGTAGGAGTCTTGATGCAGTAAATGGGATTGTGGTAACGCCCTGTAGCATACCTCTCAAAACAGCTGGACACTGTAGCTCAAGGCTGGCCACCCTGCTTGTGAGCCATCGCAGCCACAGCCCTCTTGGTGGCCGAAGCTGACAAGTTATCACTGGGTCATGAGATGTATGTCCAAGTCCCACACCAGGTGCAGACCCCGATGGATTAAAAAGGAAATCACTGGTTCACTAACAGCCGGATGGTCAAATACCAAGCCATGCTGTGTGAAAATCCCCGGATCCATTTAGAGACTGTAAACACCCTAAACCCAGCCACCCTGCTCCCCACCTCACAAGAACATCTAGCCCATGACTGCCTCCAGGTAATGGATGAAGTCTATGCAAGTCGGCCAGACTTAAAAGATAGCCCCTTGGGAAGTCAGATGTTAAGTATGTCACTGATGGCAGCAGCTTTATGCTCATGGAGCCCTGTACAAGGAAAGGGGCTCATTACATCCGGAAGGAGAAGCATAGAATATGGGACAGAAGTACTGGAACTCTTGGAGGCAGAATGGGCCCCCTTTGAAGTTGCAGTGATTTACTGTAGAGACTATCAGAAGGGAGACTCCCAGGTGGCTAGGGGCAACAGGAAAGGAGATCAAGCAGCTAAGGAGGCAGTGCTCCAGCAGCTCCCACAAGGAATTATGGCCCCCTGTTCCCAGTACCACTCTTCGAATGGGATACGGTTTATACAAAGGCAGAACAAGAATGGATAAAGACTGAACCTGGGAAGTACAAAGTGGACAAACCTATCCCCTTTAGATGTACTCTATGGAAGACCCCCACCCATCATAAAGGGAGGTCTACAGCAGATAGGAGGTATAGTGAACCATGAAGTGTTGCAGAGACTTGGGGAAAGCATGCAGGATATAGGGAAATGGGTCCAGGAGAAGCTCCCCATAAGCATGTCCAACCCTGTCCATCCCTCTGCACCCCGGAGATGCAGTTTGGGTAAAAGAGTGGAACTTAACCCCTTGGGCCCCAGATGGAGAGGTCCTTTCACTGTTCTGCTGAGTCATGCAGACTCCTGGCTGAGTATAGCGGACCCACAAGACCCTTTAAAGCTAAGACTGACCAGAGAGATCAGAGGGAAGAACTACAGCCCTGCTCCCCACACACCCCTGGAAGCTGTTGGGTCAACGCACGGCGGAAGAAGTGGATGCAATTTGATATCTACAAGCTCTGCTCCAGTTACACCCCTGGAAGCTGACTGGTCAACGCACAGCCGAAGCTTGGAGTATCCACCGATATGTCGTCTACTAAAAGTGCCTTGTTAAAATTACTGTTAGTTATAGTAATGAGTTTGGCCAGACCCATAAGGGGGGAGGGAAATTCATAGTACTTGTGTATCAAAACCACCTATTCAATGTGTATTGTAGGGAACCAGGTAACCTGTTATGATCCCACCCATGAGCCCGCTTAAACTTGGTTAACTGTCCGGAGCTTTAGCTCCACAGGCAAGCTGATAAATCGCACCCTGATAAATAATCCCAATACAAGAGCGAGCCTGATTTTTGATGTGTGTTCCACCATTAACCTTAACCATTCTCCCAGAGGAAGTTGCAGGGGGTTGGTATGGGAGAGAGAATACCTGACAAATGACAGATTTATCTGTTTGGGTAGCTGAGGAGCGGGTTGCTCAAAATGAAGCATGGAACTATTGTCCCCATTTTGATTGTGCATCGGCATAGAGGTACCCCCTAACACCAAGAACCTGTCATTAGAACTGGCAGAAAAAGGTTGCTGACAATGTGAGAGTGATAAATTGCTATGTGTGTGGAGGGACTAACATGGGAGACCAATGGCCCCGGGAAGCAGATTGCAATGTTCTGATCAATAACACCCCTGAAAACCCCCCAAGCGAGCAAAAATAAAATCTGAGTGGTATCTGAAGACATCCATAATTGGGAAATGTTGTATAGCCAAGTCAGGTCCCCTGTATAAAACCCATGTAGGAGAAATGGCCTGTCTAGGACAGCAGTTTTACAATGACACCTGCAGAAATACGTCTTGGTGGGGAAGTTAGAAATTGGAAAGATAATGAATGACCTCCCCCCTGCGTATTGTTCAGTATTATGGTCCCGGCACTTAGGCGGAGGATGGGTCATATGGCTACAGAACTCCTATCTATATATTTAATTAAATTATTAGGCTCCAAGCTGTATTAGAAATTATTACCAATGAATCTGCAAATGTTTTTAATTTATTTGTGAAATAAGAAACTAAGATACGTATTGCCATTTATTAGGACAGACTTGCATTAGATTACCTGTTAGCTGCGGAGAGAAGTGTTTGTGGAAAATGTAACTTAAGTAACTGCTGTTTAAAGATCGATGACAACGGAAATGCAATAGAGGAAATAACTAACAGGATGAGGAAGTTAGCTCATGTGCCAGTGCAAACATGGGATGGATTTAATGTTGACGACTGGTTTCCAAATATAAATGGGATGAAGGCCATGTTGGGAGTAGTTATGGCAATACTGGCAGCCTGTATTTTCCTCCCTTGTCTGATACCTCTAGGAACTAGAATGATCAGGAGTTTCGTAGAGACCACTGTAGAAAGAAAAGCTGCAGCGCATGTAAT